GTCACCACCTGGTTGTGCTCCACCTTCCAGACATCTAGGATACTCCAGACTGTGCTTGGGCAAACAAGCTACACAAGACATTTTGTCCTCCTGTAGGTGCCTCATCAGCCTCCTGCCCCTGGGGTACCTAACCTGAAATTCCAACTCCAAATGTCAAAGAAAATAGTTGAGTAGCAGCAGCAAGACACCATTACTAAGACCAACTACTGTTTAAACAGGAACCCTGGCAACAGAGATTCAAATAGACTCCTAAATCATATTTTGAATTAGACTCTTGCCCTAACCCTAGCCCAAAAGATTTAAAGCAGGTTTCTAATAAAATGAGTGAAGCAAGGGTGCTACACAGAAACTATCAAGCTCCCTACCACTCCTCTTTCTCCTTCCCAGCAACATTTCCTCATCTCAAATGTCACACCCTCTGTGCTTCACATCACGCAGGTCCTTAGCAAGCACAGGATTTGCCAACTGGCAGCTTCACCACAGGGATCTGCTGGAATGTTTCCTCTTCAATCAAAGCTAGGAGAGGAAGGGGGCAGCAGGCAGGAGGGATTCCCAGGCTGCCCACTAGACCAGCTGCCTATTCAGGGAATGCAGCACACGCAAACTACAAGTGCTATGATGCTGTGCATTCAGGAGGAAGGTCCCAGACTTGCAGTTCTTCAGCTGAATGTGCAACATCTGGGCTCTGCACAAAGGTCCTGTACGTTGAGCTGCACATCTGAAAGATGTGGTCAGGCATTAGTTGTTTTCTGCCACCATCTGAAAAGGCACAAGTACTATATGCAGGAGTTAAGGTTCCTTCACAGGGAGAAAATCCAGGTGATTGCTCCCAGGTAGTATCAACAACATTATAATGGGAGCAGTAAGCTACCCACAAGGCTTGAAGCCACCGCTTCCTTTACAAGCATTTACTTTCATACACTGGCACTCTTTAAAAACTATCCATTGTGCTACTGTGCAGACGAGCTAAACACGAGCCAGTGGGACCCAAAGAATTCATTCAGGGATAAAGATGTCACAGTTTGCACAGGAGCCCTTCTCTCCCACTTCATAGTTAAAAGCAAAGGGTCTGAAAATAAAGCTGGAAAATCAACCAGCAGAAATCCTACTTGAAAATGGTCCTTCAGAGCTGCAGAAGTCAGGTGAGATCAGCAAATTTCTCAGGCAGTACTCCAAAACTTCACCTTCAAGAAGCCCTCCATCTATTTTAAATACTGACCTCTGAGCATCCAGGACAGTGGAGCAGCAGCCTCTGCAGAAAATCCAAGTGCACATCCAATACAATAGTTCAACTTCTTTCTCTGCACAATGGATTTATTGTTAAAGAGCCAAGAATCCCCACCTTGCAAAGCACACCCTCAGAAAGCTGACCTTGCTCTCCAGGAGCCTTGGACATGCTGCAAATGATGCTTGGTTGACTGGATCTCTGCCCCATGGCACACCTTCCACGGGGTCTGCTGAAGTGTCCCAGAACACCTTTTCATCCTATACCCTCACTAGAAAGCCCCAACAGAAAAGGCAAAGCTTTGTACATGCCTTTACAGAAAACAACTGTACTAAACAACCAAGGTGAAGGCATTCAAACTAAAACTGCATTAAAGACCATAAAAAACTGGTTTAATACACAGAATTAGGGTTTTGCCTCCCTTCTCATATTCTTAAGCTGCACAACAAAAAGCATTACCCCAACTTGTAATAAGCTCCCACATAACCAAACACTGAAGTACAGCAGTGGGCAGCAGACCCTGACTGGTGATGTCAGTTTGCAAACATGCTGAAGGCAAATTACATCCTTGACAGCCAGTAACTTTATCTGCTTTACCAAAACTGTCACTCTGGGAAACCAGGAACAAGTCAAAACTTTGATGACTCAGATAGAAACATGGCAAGTGATTTTCCCCGTGGTTTGCACAGCAAACAGATGATGTTCACTCCAGCATCATCTTGGTTACAGTTTGCCTGCACAGCTCACGTTTTGTTCAAAAACTTCCTATACAAAATACTGAAGCAGAGATTTGGAGCACCACACTGAAGGAAGAGCCGGATTCAGTGTGCGCTCGCAGCTCAGAAAGCCAACCGTATCCTGGGCTGCATCAAAAGGAGTGTGACCAGCAGGTCGAAGGAGGTGATCCTGTCCCTCTACTCTGCTCTCATGAGATGTCACCTGGAGTATTGTGTGCAGTTCTGGTGTCCTCAACATCAAAAGGACATGGAACTGCTGGAATAAGTCCAGAGGAGGTCATGAGGATAATCAGGGGACTGGAGCACCTCCCATATGAAGATCAGCTGAGAAAGTTGGGGCTGTTCAGCCTGGAAAAGAGAAGTCTGAGTGGAGACCTCATAGCAGCCCTCCAGTATCTGAAGGGGGCCTACAGGGATTGCTGGGGAGGGACTCTTCATTAGGAACTGTAGTGGTAGGACAAGGGGTAATGGGTTAAAACTTAAACAGGGGAAGTTTAGATTGGATATAAGGAGGAAATTCTTTCCTGTAAGGGTGGTGAGGCACTGGAATAGGTTGCCTGGGGAAGTTGTGAATGCTCCATCCCTGGCGGTGTTCAAGACCTGGCTGGACAGAGCCTTGGGTAACATGGTTTAGTGTGAGATGTCCCTGCCCATGGCAGGGGGGTTGGAACTTGATGACCTTAAGGTCCTTTCCAACCCTAACTATTCTATGAGTCTATGAAAAACACGCTTTGCAAGACCTTCCCAAAACGCTTCCTCAGCTTCTCCAGTCTGTAGAGAGGTATTACTGTAGGACATGAAATGCTCCTCAGGCAGAGCCCTCAATAGCTTAGAGACATTTTCCCTTCAGCCTTCAATTAACACTGCCACAAAAGAATCAGAAACAGGGGGGATGATCATATCCCTCAGCTAATAAAGGTGCACCAGCCAAGGCAGTGTGGGGAGGAGGAATGCTAGGGGATGTAGAGTATTTCAAAAGAGAGGCGAGAAGGTAAATATATTGTGCTAGTGAAGCTCACTGCTATAAAACACCTAGAAAACAAGTAACAGAAGAACAGCCCAAATCCCTGCTTCTGGCCTTTGCAGAAATAAAATTCTTTCCTTTCCGCTAAGACCTTTCAAGCAAGACAAATCCCAACTATCTAAGCAACTCTGAGTAATTAAGAAACAGCCAAGGAGGTATGTTATTCAATTGGAGAGTGGCATTTTCTTGAAGACCCAGAGCAAACAGCTACAAGTCTGCCCATCAGGCCTCTGACAGCCTCAGAGGCGTGGCTGGACAAAAAGGGGCTTGTGCTCTCATTGCTCCAAAGCCCGGAGACCCACCTCCTCTGAGCACACTGGAAATCCAGCCCTATTGTCTATTACAGCAAGGTTTTCCTTCTCTTGGTAACCCTTGCAATGCTTGCACAAGGGAAACCAAACACATCTCTCAGCTCAGGCTGTGCAAGCTCACTTACTGGAACGCATTTCTGTTCCCAGGTATGAGACAGGATACATCAACGCACAAGGACACACCAAGCAAAGTCAGGACATTATCGGCTGGAGTACACTGACAACAGCAGCACCTGCACCAGGGCCAAAACCAAGTCAAGACAGCAGTCTGGAGGGATGAGAGCTACCGGCTCCCTGTTGCATACACATGCCCCCCCCAACATGGACGTGGAGCCCAGGCAGCACATGAGAACGTTTGTTATTATGGAACATCACTTATATCTCAGAGCATGGATGAAAGCTGTTACTAAGGCTAGGAAATACGCGAGTCCTAACACACTTCTTTTTCTTCTCCCCCATATGAAGCAAAACCTCTAGCGTGAAAGGCTTTGCTGGCATTCTCAGTGAAGGTGAGGAGTGGCTCAGTCTCCTCACCCCTCGGCGGAGTAGGTGGCCACAGCCACCGCTTTCACCCTCTGGTTCGCTTCCCGGGCAGCTCTGTCCAGGCCATGCCGCCAAACTCAGTACCTTCAGGCACAAGGGTAAAAGCCAAGCTGGTGATGGCAGGAGGGATTCGCCTCTCTGTTGACAGACCTTTCAGCTCTGGCCTGCAGCGGCAGGAACGGAGCCATCGTTGGGCTGACCTGAATCCCCCGGCCTCCCCCGCATCCCGCAGGGAAGCGGCCAAGCCCCTTCGGGTCCCACAGGGCTGAGAACGCCTCTTCCAGGATCGTACCCCAGAGAAGCGGTGACTTTTCCCGCTATCAGACAGGCAGGAGACGCGCCTCCGAGCACCGGGAGCGGCCGTGCCGTTCCGGGCCGCCGGGGCCTAGGCCGCCCCGGGAAGCCGCAGGCTCCAATCGGCCGCTCGGCCGGGCCGCGGGTTCCTGGGTGCGAAGCAGAAGTGCTCCCGGCACCACAGCACGGGAAGCGGCCGCCCCTGACACCCACCTGCATCCATGGCGGCGGCCCCGGCGAGGGCTGCAGCCGCCGCTGTTCTCGCCGACACATACGCCCCGGCGCAGCCTTGCGCGGCTGCTGGCGCGAGCACGGCGCCACCCAATGGGAGCGCCGCTAGTCGCCGGCGTGCGCAGCGGTTGGTTGCTGCGGCGCTCGTCACGGCTCAGTGCGCCGGGCGGCTTCCTACGAGAACTGGAGGCCGCCATTTTGCCGTACGGAGAGGCGGCGCGGCATGGGGACAGGCGCCGTGTGGGCAGCGGAGCTGGGGTTAGGCGAAGGCGGCGTGACGCCGCGTAAGGGCGCTGTTTGTTCCGCACGACGCCGGCGGGAGCGGCCCCTGACACGTACGACCGGGAAAGCTCCTGTGTACGGGTGCGACCATCGTGTTGTACTGAGCTGGCCGAGCCCTGCCCCTCTTCCCCCGGGAGGGTAGACCTCCTCAGCCCGACCCCTCTCGGAGACGTTTTTGACGGCTCGGCTGCCGCAGACCGAGCGGCTCGTCGGGAGGCGGACGCCCTACAGCGCCGAGGAGGCAAGCGAGTGGCGCCGGGAGCGATCCCCCATATCCCACTCATCCCCCTCCCCTTCCCCACGCGCCTTACAGCATCGGCGCTGTACGGCGGCGCTTCAGCCAAAATGGCGGCCGCCGTGTGGCAGCTGCCATCTTGGTTGACGGTAGTGCCGTACAGAAACCCCTTCCCCAAAGGCGGAGGGGCAGCCGGGGTGACCTGAATCCGCCATCTTGCTGTACGGCAGGCGGCGGCCCGGGCCGGCGGGCGGGGGCCGGGGCGGGCCCGGCCGGCGGCGGCCGGAGATGGTGATCTGCTGCGCCGCCGCCAACTGCTCCAACCGGCAGGGGAAGGCGCACCGGGGCGCCGTCTCCTTCCACAGGTAAGGGCGGTCTCCCGGCCCATTTCAGCCCCGACGCGCCCGGCCCTCCGCAGGTGCCGTGCCCGCTTCTCTTTCACTTCCCGGCTTCGCTCCGGCCGGGCAGCCGGGATCGGGGGGGCTGCGTGCCCTCGCGGCGGTTCTGGGTCCGTCCCTTCCCGGCCCTCCCGACACCTCCGGGCCCCGAGCGGCAGCGGCCGCCCTTTGTTTCCTGGAGCGCCGGGGACCAGTTTTGGGCTCCTTAACGGCTGTTGGCAGCTGCGAGCTCGCCTCGCTGCCGCGGGGCCTGGGCCCAGGCTCACACCAAGGCCTCTCTGTCCCCCCAGCGGCTGCCTGCACCAGGGGCCTCGCTGGGGATGCTGCCACTGGTGAGTCCCTAAGGGAAGGTCTTTATCTCAGGCAAGTGATGCGACTTTGTTAGGAAAAGGCATCTCATTCAACTGCTCTGGGTCTTTTTTATCAGTCCAGGTGTTTTTACGTTATTAAATGGACCCGGCATAAACATGAACAGGGTTACTGAGGCAGTGAGTGAACAGTGTGCTGCCCAAGCTGGAGTGTTTGAACGTTCAGTCGCATCCTCGTTCTTGCGAACAGGCTGTTGTGTTTGTCGTAGGGCAGATGGGACAGCTGAGTAATGGGTCAGTGGCTGATGAAAAGGAAAACAACACTTGTTCTGTGCTGTTTGTGGAGCTGTTAATGGAGGGAAACCAATATCCAGTGTTTCGGCCTGAAGTGAACTAAAAAGCGTAACCTGTTAAAATACAGCTTTCACAAAAATCTCCTAAAGCCAAGAGTACCAACCCTTTTGATTTCTGAAATGCAGTTTATTTTTACACGGGTTTTGTCTGTTTGGATTTTTTTAGATTCCCTCTGAAGGATTCAAAGCGTCTGATTCAGTGGCTGAAAGCTGTTCAGAGGGACAACTGGACTCCCACTAAATACTCGTTTCTCTGCAGTGAGCATTTCACCAAAGACAGTTTTTCTAAGCGGCTGGAAGACCAGCACCGGTTGCTGAAGCCCACTGCTGTTCCTACAATCTTCCAGCTTGCGGAGAAAAAACACGACAACCTGGATTATGTCAGGAGCAGAAGAAAAATAGCGAGCCAGGTGCCGCTGCAGGATGGAGAAAACCCAAGGGAAGGAGGCTGTGAGGTAGTTCAAAGGACCTCATCTTCTGGCAAGGACTTCATGGTGATGCAAGGGACGAACGAGATGGAGGAGGCATCGTTGCAAGCGAAACGCGAATCGATGTCTGAGGAGGAAGAGAACGTCCACGGCCAGCTGGACAGCCCTCGGAGAAGGACGTTAGGTGATAATTTGATTGCAAAGCCTGGCCCTCAGAAAAAGCCTGAGAGATCTTCTGCGGAGGACTGCCGGAAAGCCACATGGACGGGGAGCTGGGTGGCAGACAGAAGTGGTGTTTCGGTCGATGACTTCACCCCTCCTGCCTCTGGTGCTTGCAAGTTCATCGGCTCCCTTCATTCATACAGCTTTTCCTCTAAGCATGCCCGAGAGAGGCCATCTTTCCCTAAAGAGCAGCTAGAAAGGAAAAGGCCAAAGAGAGACGTGGAACCAAGCTGCAGCAGCCATCTGATGGGGCACAATAAGGCTATAGTGGAAGGCTCCCCTACTTCATCCCTCACCGCCACCCCTCAGAAACCTTTGCAGGGTTTGTCGGCGTCCCCAGCAGACCTCACCCCTCAGCCTGCTGCTGAGGCTGTGGTGGGGCGGAAGGGTGACACAGATGCCAACCCCATGTCAATCAATGAGGTTATCATGTCAGCCTCGGGAGCTTGCAAACTCATCGACTCCCTCCACTCATACTGTTTCTCCTCCAGGCAGAGCAAAAGTCAGGTGTGCTGCTTGCGGGAGCAGGTAGAAAAGAAGAACGGAGAGTTGAGACTTTTAAGGCAGAGGGTCAGTCGCTCTGACAGTCAAGTCAGGAAGCTGAAGGAGAAGCTAGATGAGCTGAAGAGGATCAGTTTCCCTTACTTGAACAGCCTGCTATCCCAGGACTGTGGTCAGTATGCCCAGTGGCTTTGTGTTGAGGCATCATTTTCTTAGCAATAAGAGGCTACTTAAGTTAGAGGTTGTAAAGACATGATGGGTAGAAGGTAGGAGAAAGGTACGTTTTTGGAAGGAGTAATAGCAGCTTGTGTTAGACCAACAGATACTGGTGAAAGAATTAAGGTTTTGGGCAGATGAGCTATCTCTTACATCTCAAAAGTTTCTGAGGGTGATTCCTTGTTTGGAATGGTATTTCGGGTCATAATGTTGCAGACAACTCTTGCAATTACTTTTTTTCCTTCCTGGGTTGTTTTAACTTGTTTGTGACTCAATAGCACCTGTTGGGATTTGCCTTCCTTTGGAGTATGTCTGTGGATTTTTTTGGTGTGTAAATGAGCTGTCTTGGGCAGCAGTTATCTGAGAAAGCTGCTGGAGCCTTTTCCAGTGATGTAAGAAGTGCTTCTGATCTTAGATTTCATATGCTGTACTCAGTGCTTGGGAGATAGGAAGTCTTGGTGAGGTGGTAAGTATTGAATATGACAATGGCATGATGACACCACTTTTTCTGACTGTCAGTGTTTGGCTTGATCATTTCCTTCTTCAGAAGGCAGAAGCCATCAGGAAACGGCTAATAAAGTGGGAAGAGATGGTGAATCTCTATCAGTGAAAACCAAGAGACACCTGAAAATGTTGGGGAACTCGGTGAGGGATAAGGTCCTGTAAAAAGGTTGTTACGGAGAGGTCAAGTCGGGCCATAACCCTTTCTCTTGCAAGAAAAAGAGTGCCCTAATATACAGCTGATAAAAATTCTATATAGTGACTCTGGTTGCAAGATATAATTTTGGTGAAGAGTTTAGGACCATGTAATGATGTTTGATGCTTGTGTGGCTGCTAGGAAGATGTTGGGTTGCTTTCTGAAGGATGCATGCCTCAGGGCTTTCTTGAAAAAGTTGTCACCCATGGATGATTAGCTATTCCCTGATGGTAGTGCTCGTTCTTTTCTTTAGGAGAAGAAATCTCATGGCTTCCTCTAAACAAAGAAAAGAACTAAATACAGTTTTAGGGTTCCGTCATTGTCATTCTCATACACACGCATACTCATGTGAAAAAGGATGTCTAGCTTTGTTGGAATACCTTCAGTGAAACACTCATTGCAAAAATAGTGTCCTGAAGGATGTTCTTCTTTATTCTAGAAAGCATTATGATTTTTCTTCTCTTTCCTGAGATGGAGATTTTTATACATATGTCTTCAAGAACATGAGAATTACGTATTAAGAATATCTTCTAAAGAATGTAAGAATGACATACCAATTTTCTAAGGGAAAATTATATTTCTTAAAATGAATTGATCAACTCATTACCTGATAATGTCCTGCCAGCAATGGGCAGTTCTTATGGAACACTTTGGCTGGTGACCTTTTTAAAGGGTTTTTTGGTGAGTGGTTTACTTCTTGCTTTTTAAGTCTTTTAAGCTTAATCAGGGTGCTCTTCTGCCTTGCAAAGCTTTTTGTGTGCTCATAGTAATAGTTTATGGCAATCAAAATCATAGAATAGTTAGGGTTGGAAAGGACCTTAAGATCATCTAGTTCCAACCCCACTGGCATGGGCAGGGACACCTGAGTAAGTGTAGCTGACTGCTGCTGGGCAGAGTCTTGTTTATGCCTAGACACTAAGTTTTACTCGAATACAAAGCTGAATTGAAGAAAGTCTTTTTGGTATTCATGCAAATACAGTCAGCTGACATACTAGGTTAATAATAATTACAGTCTTTGGTAGCTTCATTTCAGTTGTCCTAAATCACCTATGTGTAGTTGAGGTGATGCTATTAGCTGTGAACCTGAGCCTGCGTATTTTTTTCTTCTAAGCACAGGTGCCTTGGGGATGGGGAATGAAAGTACAGTAACTGACTGGAGTGGCTGTGCAGGTTGTTACGTGTCTGCATCCCAGCTCCATGCACTGTGGGACTTCTCTTTGCTGATATTCAACCTCTTCCACAAAATCCCGAGCAGAAGAGTGAGCTTGAGCCTGCACCTATTAAGCAGATCTTCATTTTGATACTAGTTCTCAGCTGGTGTTTTCCTCCAGTGAGACAAGTTAATTTCTGCTGGCTGTACCCAAACTACAGACGGCTGGAAAGAGCAGGTTTCAGTAGAAGTGCTGTATGTGCAGTCCCTGCCAGCCACACTTGAGGATTGGTGACTCAGTCTGGGTGAGTTTGCCTTGAGGTATGCTCTGTCACAATGGGTATTTTCCAACCTAAACGATCCTATGAAGCGCTCAAGCGTTGTTGCCCAACATGTCTTAACAGGGGAATAGTCTAACAGGTTTTAGAAGTCCCAGGCTTTCGTCCACAGCTGCTACAGTGATCTTTTCCATCTAAACTTTGAATTTGCTCACTTGTTTGGTAGGAAAATGTTTCCTGCTGTTTTGTGAGCCACTTCTGAGATCCATGGACCACAGGTTGAGGAATACTTCCAGCAGAGGAGTGCGCTTAGGCACAGTGTACCAAACAGAACAAGGTTAGATGTGTGTTTTGGAGAACAATAGGATGCACTGGGAGAAATGAGGGAGAGCCAGTGAGCAAATATGGATCCAGTGTCCTGAGGTAGGGGAGACTAACAGCTCTGTCCGCTGACACACAAGTACTAACTGACCCATCTTGTTCTGCTTGGAAGTTTTTGCAGCTCTGCTGTGTCATACTCCCCCAGTGCTAGCAGATACAAGAGATCTGAGATGCTCCTTCCACAGGATCACCTTGTATTAATGTGTTCAAGTTTGGTCATTTTGTAAAACTACATCTCCCAGAAGGCACTGGGATAACTTGTTCTACCTAATCATGAGATCACTTCCCTCATAGCCATCTTAGGAACCCTGCGCAAAGCACTTGCTGGTGGGCAAAGGTGGTTAAAAAGACTTAAGCAATAGGAAAGCAACCCTGTGAACTATGGCTGGCAATGGAACAAACACAGGTATGATTCAACGGGCTTGAAGTGTCTATTTATCAGAGGTAAAGCTGTTAGAATTCAGCTGTTTGAGCATATGTGGACTTTAGCACTGTGTGTCTGCTTTTGTGAAGGTCATATTAAAGGCAGGAGAGTTTGCAAAATTAGTCCATGTGAAAAATGGTTAGAATTTTGCTAGGAATGTGTAGGAAATCATATTTCCTTCCAGCTTAGATTTGTCTTTAAATATTTGTAGAAAGCCAGCATAGAAATGGGGTTATTTCTACTTTTTACATATGTATGAATCATAGCTGAACTTTGGGGACAATCAGAAAGACTCAAACATTAAATGACTGGTGGTGTGCCAAGATGGATTTCTCATACCTGGTCTGTGGGGCCTGAGGTGATGTTTCCCATCAAGGTGGCAATAGGTTTTCATTTGTGTTGCAGAAAATAACCAGCAAAATCCTGTTCCTCAGTGACACTGAGAAGTGGGGTTGTACAAGGGTGCAAGATGCTGTACTTTCATTTGTCTGAGCAGGACTTGAACAGCAGTGTGTCCCTATCCAGTTACAATGGGTTGCAGAGATGTGCTGTCAGAAAGATTGCTTCTACCAGGGCAGGCACTGCTAACCTGGCAGCTGGGTAGTAACTTGGAGATAGATTTTGGAAGAAAAGAGATTTTGTTCTGAGATGGCTGGTGCTGCTTGTGACTTCTTTTGTCTGCCTTCTCTGGGATAGGGACAGCTGAGGTTCCACCATCCAGTGCTGGCTTCCACCATCGTAAGCACGTAGCACTTCACCACCAGGTTCTGCACCTGGGTGGTGATACCTTACCACAGTGCAGCAGCTCAGATGGGTTTACCTCTGCGTTGCCAGTTGCTCTGCTTCCATTGCTACAGCCACCCCCCACAGGACATTTGCCACCATCCATGAGTCTGTATAAAGTACTGGCTGTTCTTGTTAAGCACTGTCCAAGGCCAGCTGGATGGCTTTCACCTCAGCAAACTGACTTGACCCACTTTCAGCAATTTCTGCAGCTTGTCATGGGAGACTCCTTCCATCTCTAGTGCTTTGCCACAATACATCAGTAAACAAGGAATATTGTTTCTCGCTTTCTGGTAGTTTGTTGTACAGTAGGGTCTCCCCTGCATGTGTCACCTCCTCCTCTGATTTTGGTAGTGTTCTGAAATCTTTGCCTTCTGGCCACGATAGTTACTGTTAGTCTCCACTCTCCGTTAGACTTTCCTACTGGCCATATGGGGCCATTAAATGATGAGCGGGTCCTTCTGATCACTCCTTGGCTCTCCAGTCTGTGGATCCGCTTATGGATGGGAATCAGTGAGTCCTGGTTGGTGCGATATTGCCGCCGGTGTACTGTTGTGGTCGTGATTGGCACTTGTTCTTTGACCTTCAGCAACCCCACAACAGAAGGATCCTTTGAGAGACCAGGCAAGGTGGACAGTTGCTCAGTTTCCTCCATCTCCAAGACAGCTATACCAAAAGGTCATCAGTACCTTTTTGGGTCCCTTAAATATCCGTTCCTGAGGCAGTCTATGCCAAGGATGCATGGAGCCTCTGGATCAGTCACAGTGGGGTGCTTTTGTGCTCCTTCCCAGTCAGGCTCATTTCAGCCCCCAGTACAATCACCTCTTGGGATCCTTCTGTCACATCAGAAATACAGATGGGTTCGACTCCTTGACAGTTTGATGGCATCAGGTTACATTGTGCACCAGTGTCTGCTAGAGCCTTATGCTCCCGTGGGACTGACATGTCAGGCCATCTGATCCACACAGTCCAGTAAACGTGATTGTCTCTACTGCATTCCACTTGCCTGGATAGCATGTAACATCTTCCTTGAAGTCGTGCCTTCATGGCTGACAGGAGTCACCTTCAGAAGCTGAGTCCCTCTCTCAATTGCCTTTTCAGTTCTCTCTTCCCTAGCAAGTGTTCCCAGCTGCTTGGCTTCCCTACTAGTTCAGCTCCATTACCCCAGCATTGGAGTAGCCAGGTGATAATGTGCTCACCTGGCTGATGCTGAAATCTTTCTGCATATCCTGCAGCTCACCTG